GTCTGGAGGTCACTAAAGCAGCACTCAGGAAAGGATCACATGGAGAGGACCTGAGCCTCCCAGGAACAAGTGATACCAACTTGCCAGTGAGCTCTCCTACTCCCAGTCCCCAAACAAGCCTTCAGATGATTGCAGCTGATTAATACTGACGGAATCCTGTGAGAGACCTGAGCCAGAGCACCAACCAGAAAAATTAGTGGGGTGTTATGGCAGGCACTTACAGTCCCAGCTCCTTGGGAGGCTGAGGCAGGAAGACCACCTGGGCCCAGGAGTTTGAGGTTGCTGTGAGCTAGGCTCGAGTCTGGGGCAACAGAGTGAGGCTCTGTCTCAAAAAAAAAAAAGTCTGATAAAAGGCCTATAATCAAAATGTACAAAGAACACTTAAAATCAACAGGAAGAAAACAAGTCAATTTTTTAAAAGGGCAAAAAATCTAGACAGACACTCCATCAAAGATTATATACAGATGTCAAATAAGCACACAAAAACACGCTCAATATCACATGCCATTAGAGAATTGTGAATTAAAACAACAAGGAGATACATTGCACACCTATTAGAATGACTAAACAAAAACAAAAACAAAAAACTGACAATACCAAATGCAGGCAAAGATGAGGAGCAATAGGAACTCTTATTCACTGCTGGTGGAGATATAAAATGATACAATCACTTTAGAAGCCAGTTTGAGTTTTTTACAAAGTTAAACATAGTCTTACCATATGACCCAACAATCCTATGTCTAGATATTTACCCAAATGAGTTGAAAATATATCCTCAGAAAAACTTGGACACAGATGTTTATAGCAGTTTCATTCATAATTGCCCTAAACAGGAAGCAACCAAGATGTCCTCTAGGCAGGTAAATTGATGAATAAGCATCCAGATAATGGAATATTATTCAGTGGTAAATAGAAATGAGGAATGAGCTATCAAGTCACAAAAAGACACGGAGGAACCCTAGATGCATATCACAAAGTGAAAGAAATCAGCCTGACAAGGTTACGTTCTGTGTGATCCCAGCTATATGACATTCTAAAACTATAAACATAGTAAAAAGATGGGAGGTTGCCAGGAGTTGGGGGGGGTGGTTTATAGGTGGAGCACAAGGGATTTTTAGGGCAGTGAAACTCTTCTGTGTGATATTGTAATAGTGGATACAAGGAATTTGTTAAAACATACAGAATATACCACACTAAACTATGGACGTTAGTCATTAACAATAACAATATCAATATTGTAACAAGTGTGCCACATTAACAGAAGATGCCAATAAAAGGGGAACCTGTGATGGGGAAGGGTATGGGAACTGCTGTACTATCTGGTCAACTTTCTGTAAAACTACTCTAAAAATGAGTTCACTAATTTAAAAAAAAGTTAATACCAGTCAACTGAAGGAAAAGTAGAAATAAGGCAATCCTGCCATACAAAGTTTCAACAGAACGATAATCACTGTTAACCCTCAGGCACAGTTCCTTCTAGTCTTTTTTCACATGTCTATGTATATGGATTTTTTTTTAAGAGTTGACATCATTCTGCTAAACCATTCCGAAGGTTCACAGTTTGGTTTCAGTTTGGATTTTTAACCGCAAAGAAAGTAAGAAAGTAGCCCATATAAAACATCAGTGATACCAAAAACAGATTCTAGAGGGGCCAGTTGCTATGGGAATGATTGAAAATAAATTTCGTTTCACACTACACTGTGCTAATGTATTGACCAGAAGGAAAGAGAAATATTTGGCAACTTAGAAAAGTAGCTAAGAAAACTTCTAATCAAGAAGGAAAATGCCTCAGCTTGGTGTAAGGTTTCACAGAGGCCAGTGGTGTTCCCCTGCAACTTAACTAATCATGCTCTTTTAGCAGCCCCGTCAGTGGAAGGGGAAGGCAGCTGGGAATCAGGGACTGAGTGGGACTCTCCTTCTCCTTTGCTGATAGTCTGACAGCCAAAGGCCAGTAAGTTTCCTGTAGTCTGTGGGCTGTTGAGCAGGGTGGTATGAGGCCAGGAAAATACCACCCTTGCCCTCCAACAGAGATGCTCTACATATTTATCAAGCTAATCCAGGCTTAGGTGATCAGCACGGACACCACACCGGCCCTTAGCACTGAAGGAAGCCCACGGTACTGGATCATGGGGCAGTCTGGTGGGGGCGGGGGGGTTGGAGAGGGACCAGGATGCCAGAAAGTAAAGGACATTCAAGGAGTTCAGGGGAGTGACAATTTCCCAGCAGGAGAATTTTAACATGAAGAAACGGTAAGACCAGTGTGAACCAACTGAATTCTGACTTCCCTATAACCAATATTTTTATAAAAGCCTTTTTAGTCATAGCAGGGGCAGCCTCAGAGGGGGAAAGCAGAGCTGCTATCACAAAAAAGACCCCACGTAGTGTGAAAACAGGCCCAGCTTCTCACCATGGGGAACAGCTCGGCTTCAGCATCAAATAGATCTGGTTTTGAATCCCAGCTCTGCTATCATTGCCACAAACTATTTAATATTGGAGCCCCAGTTTCCTCACCTGTAAAATGGATATAATTACTCGTACCTCAAGAAGTCTTGGTAAGGATAAAATAAGCTATGAAGACTAAGCACAATGCCTGGCATACATTAAGCGCTCCGTCAAATGCATTTGCCATGACTAAGGTGACCAGACGTCCCACTTTTGGTGGGACAGGCTTGATTTTTAACAATTTGTCCTGTATCCTGCAGCATTTTAAAAAGTCCCAATTTTTGGAAAGAATGCACAACAAACTAGGGAACAGCAGGAGAATGGGAAGGGAATAGACAGTTTTTGGCTGCCATGTGGCTATTTCACCAGGATATGAGTTTTATATTATTTTTATTAATTTTATAATGTTAAACTTTAATAATAACAAATAATTGTTGAGAACTGATTATTGAGAACTGCTTATCAAAGTTCACATTATTGATCAGTTGTTAGAATTCGACCACCATTGTTTGGACTTAATGAATAATGGCATTTTTTGGCATTGGCAACCACGAAAACATTTTGTAACTGTCTCTCAGACGATACACATCGTACTGTGTGCTAGTGCTAAACAAGTGATGTCAACAAATCAGCTATTCAGATAATTTAGGTAAGTAATTTATTTATTTATTTCATGAATTTACCAGACAGTACTTGTATTATTTGTATTTTATAGTGGCAGCAAAAAGTCTAGCACTGGCCTTGAAAGTGACACAACTTACAAGGTATCATTATTTAAAAAAATATATTGATAAGGAAAAGGTTAAATCTTGGACATCAGCAAAAATCACAATAGAGAACAAATGGTTAGAAATATTTTATCATTTTGAAACAAACCATGTTCCATACAATAATGCACTAAAAATTGTGGGATATGTGCTGCCCTTACCAGGAACTAATACTGTGACTGAACACATTTTTTCTATGGTAAATAAAGTGTGAACATCAGAAAAATCACAATTAAGTGTTGAGACTTTGAAAGCCATTTTATATGTGAAATATAATTTAACAAATCCTTGTGAAAAATTTCATGACCTTTTAAACAACGACAGCAATCTACTAAAAAAAATTCACTCAAATGAGAAATATGCCAAAGAATAAAATAATACTATACATAATTTTTTAATGTATTATATTTGTAAATTGTACTTAGGTTGAAATTAAAAATATATATTACAATACTATTTTTGAGTTCCATGAAAATTTTTGTTGCTCCATATAGACCAAATTTTTAATTAAGAACCCCCCCACCCCACCCTGGTCAATGGTGTCCCACTTTACCAATGTTAAAATCTGGTCACCTTAGCCATGACCACCACCACCACCATCAAGAGGTTACTGTCTGTGCTGCAGGATTCTTTAAAAACACAGCTAGTGGCCCTATCTCCCCTTCCCTGCCATATTCCAATGTAGATGCCTGGTCACCATTGCCATATAAAGACAGTCCCTTAAGGGCAAAATATCAAGCAGCTGGATCCCAGGAGGCTCTGTAATTTGGGGAGGAGCAAAGACTTTTGGTGTGGAACCAACCCAAATCATAAAGTTACAAAGTTACAGACAGCCGGGTAATAGCTTTAATAGCTTCTCCCCTAAGGCATAAGAATTTAGGATTAGAGTTGTCAACCATCCTGAAGGATGAAGAAAAACCCAGGGTTAGATTATACAGTGACTGACTGCAAATATATGATCCCATTTCCAAAGGATGCAAAACTATATCTGGATGCTTTGCCTTTTGGGGGGGCCCAAGTGATCCTCTTGCCTCAGCCTCCCAAGTAGCTAAGACTACGGGTGCCCTCCACAACAACAGTCTAGTTTTTGTATTTTTAGTAGGGAGGGGGTCTCACTCTTGCTCAGGCTGCTCTTAAATTCCTGAGCTCGAGGGAGGATCCCACCTCAGCCTCCCAGATTGCTAGGATTACAGGCGTGAGCCACTGAGCTTAGTTAATGGATTCATATTTTTATGTTGAAAAAAATGTTACACAGAAAACTATAAATAATCAAACATATATCTGTCCCTATCACCCAGAAATGGCAATTGTTAACATTGGTTATATCAAATCCAAGAAGGGGAGAGGAGGGGAGGGAAGGGGAGGGGAGGGGAAAGAAGGGAAGGGAAGGGAAGGGAAGGGAAGGGAAATGAAAAGAAAAGAAAAGAAAAGAAAAGAAAAGAAAAGAAAAGAAAAGAAAAGAAGGCAGATAAAATTATTTTCTTCCCTACCCACATACCATAATTCTTGCCTACTCTTCCATCACTGTCAGGAATTTGATATGTATATTTACCCATCCAGTTCTGTCTTTTTGTTTTACCTACATTTTCTGGCTTTTTTAAAAATAGAAAGTAAATAGAAGAATACACAGCAAATGTGCTATTGTGTGAAGGGGAGCTTCCAAGCCCATGAAGCCGCACCAAGGCTCACCCACTCAGGTGATCCCCAACAGCCTATGGGAGGGAGGGGGTGTGGTCTGCAAACACCACCTGTGAACAAAGCAGCACAAATGCATACGGCTGTGTGGCTTACCTGGGTCCAGGTGGGTGAAAGAGCCCACCACGAAGTCCAGCGTGGACACGGCCAGCAGGAACAGCAGCAGCAGTTGGAGGCGGATTATCCATTTGACACCTGCTAGGTTAATCCCCAGCAAGGCCAGAAGCACCACAACTGAAATTCCTCGCACAGCCCAGATATTCCCGAGGCCCAGCAAATCTGAGATGGATTCAGCAAAGCCGGTGATATACATGGCACCTGCAACACACTGACATGCGAGTCCAGGTAGGAAGAGTCAGCAAGACAGAGAAGACTGCAGAGCCCCCAGGCAGAGCCGCCGGGCACTGGGAGCCCTGCTCCCCCCTCAGCACACTCAGTTGGGCCTAGCTCAGCACTTGGGACCTGGTGTGGGGATAAACAGTCCCTTCCTGCCTAGGAACCTGCTTCAGGGCCCATTTCTGCTCAACATCTTCACTAGGGAATGAATGCTGAGCCCAAGCTGAGAGCTGGCTGTCCAGCATAAGATGAAAAGACCAAGGGAGGAAGAGGCCAAAGAGGCCTTTAAATTTCTCTGTCCACGTTTCCCAAGGACTAAATACAGAACAAGAGCGCACAGGGGGCCCACTTACAGAGCCATAAAAGGGCACTGCAGTGAGCCATAGTTTTTACCTCCAGTTCTTTGTAGGTCAGTATTATTTTTAAAATCATCTAAAACTTGGAAATAGAAAAAAAAAAAGTAAGTAGCACACCTTTTTCAATATCATATGTGACAAAGCCTACCCAAAGATTACCTAGGTGACTGAACTTAGTTTGACTTACTATTTGCTATTGATTAAACGTATTAAATGTCCCAAACTTAATGAATTACATGTTGATATATAGATTTTTTTCCAAGTAGAGATGCAAATAATTTCTGCCCAGTGGAACAGAAGATAAGGGTTTGCTGTCCTCTAAGACATTAACAGTTTTGTATCTAATACAGCAATCTTATCCTTACATGTATTTATGAAGTTGTCTAACTATGAATTTATGACTGGTCTCTTCCCATCTCATGTCTTCCCCTTTTGCTCTCTATCATTTTACTGACTCCTCCATTAATTCATTCATTAAATAAAATCTGTGGGGCAGCACCTGTGGCTCAGTGGGTAGGGCGCCAGGCCCATATACAGAGGGTGGAGGGTTTGAACCCAGCCCCAGCCAAACTGCAACAAAAAAATAGCTGTGAGCTGTGACACCACAGCACTCTACCTAGGGCAACAGAGTGAGACTTTGTCTCTAAAAAAAAAAAAATCTGTGGCACATAGTTATTTTATATTTGCCTCATAATCATAGTTTTCTCTTTTGGGAACTATTTGAAAGATCATTTCAAATTAAATCACTGAAAATAACACTTTCCATAATTCCTTAGCCTTGGCCCCCTTCTCTCCTCAGATTTGTCCCTTCACTGTCCCCAGGTCCACCAGGTCACTCTCACCACTGTAGCCTTGCCATAGCCATTCTCCTAGGGAACAAATTCAAATCCCTCCTTTCCCACGAAGCTTTTCCTCATCCCTCTTTTCTAAATAAGTATGATGCTTACTGCCAGTGCCATGTAAGTTTGACTTCCTGTCTCACCACTAAGAATGCAAACATCTTAAAAAACGCAAACATCATAAAATTTTTTATGCTGATTACACCTCTTAAAATACCCTGCATTTGCTAAGTATGCAGCGAGCATTCAATAAATACTTTGTGATATGCTGACCACATGAAAAGTGCTGTAGGAAGCAGGACCACAAGCTTCTAGCCCTTTTGTATAAAGGCCAGAAGGGTAATGATATGACTTCTGTATTTGAGGGGGGCTCACGAACAAGGCCATTCTTCACTGAAATCACCTTACTTTGTAACTAGGTATATAACATCTTTGTCACTATCATCCAAATTTACACACTTAGCTTAAACAGTTATTCTAGCCCTTTCAATGTCCCATAGTAATAAGCATTTCTATCTATATTTGGACGAAGAGGGAAGCCCAGGAGATGTGGGAGAAATGCAATCATCTCTGAGACAGAGAAAGAAAGAGGGAGGTGGGTAGAGAGACCTACCTATGTTCTCCTGCATTCATCTCAGAACCCAGAACTCCCCCTAACTAAACAAGAGTGTGATGGTGATAATGATGTGGTTCCATCAGGACATGGCCAGATCAGCAGGACTCTTCATGGTCAGATTTATTTAAATTTTTAAAAATAAGTGAAAAATATGTAGTAATGACTATCATTTACACGGGAACTACTTTCCCCGGCGTCCAATTTTGCCTAGCATGCCCAGAATGAGGCTGGAACTTAAATGTGATCATTTGCATCTGAAGTTTCCAAACCAATTTTCTTTTCTGGCAGGAGAATAGAATTTATTCACATGAGAGAGGCCAAGCTGTAAGTGCTGCCTTTTGTTCCCAGTAACTCAAGTAGAATCCCTCTTTCAAATTTGTACCTAACATTGCTTTTTAGCCCAAAGATGCTAGCAACGAGAAAAAAAAATACTCTCTGGGCTGGCACGGTGGCTCACACCCGTAATCCTAGCACTCTGGGAGGGTGAGGCAGGTGGATAGCCTGAGTTCAGGAGTTGGAGACCAGCCTGAGCAAGGGTGAGACGCCTGTCTCTACTAAAAATAGAAAAACTAGCCAGGCATTGTGGCAGGCAATTGTAGTCCCAGCTATTCAGGAGGCTAAGACAAGAGGATCACTTGAGCCTAGGAGTTTGAGGTTGCTGTGAGCTATGATGATGCCATGGTCCTCAACCCCAGGTGACAGAGTGAGACTCTGTCTCAAAAAAAAAAAAAGAAAGAAAGAAAGAAAGAAAAGGACTCTTCAAGATGCTTGTAAGAACATGGTAATGAGGAACACAGACTGGGAAGCCAGTGTCCTTGCGACTTGAGAAAGTGTTCTAACCTCTCTGTGAAACACAGATAATAGTACTTACTTCAAAAGGTTACTGTGAGATTTAAATGAGATAATTTATACAAAGTCCTAGAATAATATAAGCTTCATAGAGTTACAGAAATAATAGCCGCCGGCATTATCATCCTTAGTTATCAATAGCTATTGAAGAAGAAGAAACAGTTGCTAGTTATGCATATCAAAAAATACTTTGTTAATGCTAAATAGATATTGGCACTGGGAATTTGCAATATAAATTGTAAATAAACGTATATGCCTGTAGTCCCAGGTACTTGGGAGGCTGAGGCAGGAGGATCCTTGAGCCCAGGAGCTTGAGGTTGCTGTGAGCTAGGCTGAGGCTAGGAGACTCTAGCCTGAGCAACAGAGTGAGACTCTGCCTCAAAAGCCAATAAATAAAATAAAGGTTCTTTAAACCAAAGAGACTTACTTTAAGAGAAAGCAATTATAGTCTAAAATTAAACTATCTTTTCAAAATCTAAGAGTTTGAGAAGAGGCGAGGGTATTTTGAAAAATGGGAAAGTATAGTTGTTGTAGAGATTTCATATTTGGGCAGTAGAGGAGCTAGTAAACAATGTGTCCTGGTTGGGAAGTATAGAAAAAGTATTAAAGACAAATATAAGTTTAATTATGGCTTCTAGGGTAGAATGTAACTGCTAGCAGAATTAAAAACAGAGTAGAACTTCCAAATCAACAAAAATGCAATAGAAATAAATTTGATCCCATTGACCATATCAGGAGAAATGAGAAATAAAATTTCAACTTATCTAGAAATTAATGAAAAGGAGAATATCTTATTCTAAAACTCTAGAGGCACAATTTAACTTGTATTCATAAGAAAAAAAAGAAGAAAAGAAGCCAGGCACCATGTCAGGCACATGCCTATAATCCCATCTACTTGAGGGGCTGAGGCAGGAGGATGACTTGAGCTCAGGAGTTTAAGACCAGCCTGAGCAACATTGCAAGACCCCATCGCTATAAAAAATAAATAAATAAATAAAAGGAAGGGGGGGGGAAAAGTATAGTTTTCAATTTTTTATTAGTTAAATAAGGAAGAAAGAGGAAAAAATTTAACTTAAGAAATCATGAAAAGATCAATGTAAAGAAAAAGAGAGTACAGAGAAATATTTAAGGAAATATGAAATTAATGAAATAAAAGAAAGAATGCAAAAAACAAAAGTTGATTCTTTGTTAAAAAATCAATTAGACAAGCCCCTGGCAGCCTGATTCAAAACAAAAGAGAAAATGCAAAAATGTAGACTATCAGTACTAAAAAAGCAATAAAACTACTGATACAGAGGAGACTAAAAGATGGAATAAAATATAGAATTGTGCTATAAATTATGGAATATTCATATTATACAACATTAAACAACCACTTAAAAAGCATTGGCTTAAAACACTGACCAAGAAGAATGTCTATGACAATGTTGAGTGAGAAATACAAGTCAAGAAATAAAGTATGAAATTTGTCTCCGTTTTTATAAAAATAAGCAAAGCAAAAATGTTATAAAAACAAGCATAGGCCAGGTATGATGGCTTACACCTATAAGCACTCCAGGAGGCAGAGGCGAGTAGATTGCCTGAGCTCACAGGTTCGAGACCAGCCTGAGCCAGAGTGAGACCCCCATCTCTAAAAATTGCTGGGCCTTGTGTCGGGTGTCTGTAGTCCCAGCTCCTGGGGAGGCTGAGGTAAGAGAATGGCTTGAGCCCAAGAGTTTGAGGCTGCTTTGAGCTGTGATGCCACAGCACTCTACCCAGGGTGACAAAGTGAGACTCTGTCTCAAAAAAAAGCATAAATGTCATACAAAATGTAATATGAAGAGGGACAGGTACCCACAGAGAACACTAGGTATTTCTACTGGGCTCAAGCAATTCCCTTGCGTCAGCCTCCTGAGCTTAAGGCGGGGGTGGGGGGGGGCAAGGAGCACTCTTTCTTTACATTATCTCCAATGTGTTAACTGGCTACCATGTATATCATTTTATAATTGTCATATACTTTTATAAAGGACAAAAAAGGCAAACACATTAGAAGTACTTGGCTCAGCACCCATAAATCAGTGGTTAGGGTGCCAGCCACATACATGGAGGCAGGCAGGTTCAAACCCAACCTGGGCCTGCTAAACAACAATGACAACTGTAACAAAAAAATAGCCAGGCGTTGTGGCAGGCGCCTATAGTCCCGGCTACTTGGGAGGCTGAGGCAAGAGAATTGCTTAAGCCCAAGAGTTTGAGGTTGCTGTGAGCTGTGATGCCATGGCATTCTACCCAGGGTGACAAAGTTGAGACTTTGTCTCAAAAAAAAAAAAAAAAAAAGAAGTCTATTAAGTTTATGTAAAAACTAAACTGGGGTACATTATGGCCCAGACTGGCTATCTATAAGGAAGCAGTCTAAGAGTCAAGGCCTTCATCAACACTTGACTCATGACAGTCTACACAGGACTGGTGTGAGCTCCAGTCAGCCTTTGAGACAAGTATGTTCACTCAGGGACTACCAGGCCTTCCCCAGAACATTCCAACTACACTAGATGCATCTACCTTCCAACCTCAATTCATTTTTTCTTTTCTTTTTTTTTTCAGTTAGAGTCTCACTCTTCACCCTGGGTAGAGTCGTGCTGTGGCATCATTATAGCTCACAGCAATCTCAAACTCTTGGTTTCAAGTGATCCTCTTGGGTCAGCTTCCTGAGTAGCTGGGACTACAGGCACTTGCCATGACCCCCAGTTAATTTTTCTATTTTTAGTAGACACAGGACCTTGGTCTTGCTCAGATTGGCCTTGAACTCCTGAGCTCAAGTAAGCCACCCACCTCAGCCTCCCAGAGTGTCAGGATCATAACTGTGAGCCACCGCATCCAGCCCTCAACCTTAATTCTGCTCTTACTTGGAAAACTTTCCTGAAAATTTGTTTAATGTGTAAACATGTCCAGATTTTATATTAGATTTTTAAAGTATTTTTTATTACCTCCTAAAGTTTATAATCACAGGCATTCTTTTCCCTTTCCATTCTCTGCCAAGAAACTTCTGGCTCCTTCTTACTAGAGGCAAGATGTGTCACCTTAAAGAGAGAAGGTGGCCTTCTTTCAGGTTGCAATACCTCCATCCCACGGTATTTTATTTTAGCAATATTGCCTGTTCACAATCATAGGCATTTCTCCTTTCATCTTTGAGTACCTACCTAGAAAACCAGATCTATCTCTCAACATCCCTCCCCTTCTGACACAAGCTCTCCAATTTTAGGCTGAGTCTGGTGGATTGACACATATGTCCTGAATATGTGTTAATTCATAACAAAAACTCCAAACCTATATCAAGTCTACAAAAACTTTCCACCCTCCATTGTCTTTGTACAGAGTCCAGCACAGAGCATGTCAGCCACTAATAAATGCTTTTAGCTACGTCAGTGCAACCTGAAGCTAGATATTTTGGTGTCCTGGATAAGCAGCCCTAAAGAAGCCCATGGGCCCATCCAGGTGAGTGGAGCAGGGAGTGAGAGGTCCCTAGCCTGTCCTGTCTTCCACTGGCCAAAAAGTCTGGCATGACACCAAGGCCTCAGAGAGATGAAGGGGGGCGGGTTTACGGGGTGCAGGACAATAACAAGATCATATAAGCATTGAAAATCATTATTTTAAGTGTTTCTACCCCTAAATGTTGATGCTTTAGGGCAAACTCGCTTGCTGCCCGTTTTGGCAAACAAACTTTCTTTGGGACACAGCTAAGCCCTTTTATTTTTAATGTTGCCTGTAGCTGTGTTCACACTACAACAGCAGAGTTAAGTCCTCATGACAGTGACATAAGACCCATAAAACCCAAAATACTTACTGTCTAGCCCTTTATAAAAGTTTGTCAACCTCTGCTTAGGGGGCAAAACCAGGCAATCTGCTTCAGGAATCATTAAAAATAAATGAATGTGAAGTAGAGAGTTGGGATCTGCCTCTCCCAGGGAAAAGGGACAAAGGGGGGTGCTCTGACTCGGTGCTGCCTCAGACAATTGCCCCACCAGGGAAGAAGGACAAGGGCGAGCACTTCGTCTTGGAGCTGCCCCAACCTTAAACCTACCCAGAGCAACTACCACACCTGAGTGAGGGAGGAACCCCTGCTAATCTGCAAAAGGATGCAGGGGATCCCCAGCCAGAAGGCCGGGCAGCCCAGGCACACTAGGATTTGGAAAGTGACCTACAGTAACCTACGGCTAATTAATTATCATATTGTTAACCATCCATCAAGGTGGTTCCATGGTGATGTCTAAACCATGAGGAGGGCTCAAGATAGACAGTATAAAACAGGAACTCCAGACCATAACAAAGGCCTTTTTGTCATAAGGAACAGGGTCACAGGCAAACATATCTTGCTCTGTAAACCTTTCTCTTCTGCAACAAACTTTGTTTCACGCTTGCCTTGCTTTGGGGGATCTGGTCATTCTTCAGCCAACGGCACACCGAGAACTGAGAACAGAGAACCCAGACAACTGCCTGAACCCAGCAAACACCCTCATGGCCCGAGAGGAGGGGCTGAGTCGTTCTTAAGGACTAGGACTAGGGAGGCTCGGAACCCTCAACCACAACGAGAACTCAAATCAACAACCTAATCTGTCACCATAATAGACTAGAAAATGAAGAGCAAGCTAAACCCAACGCAAGGAAACAGAAAGAAATAATAAAGATTAGAGCAGAAATAAATGGAATGGAAACCAGAAAAATAATAGAAAATAACAAAGCCCCAAATTGGGTTTTTTCAGATAAATCTTTATCCAGTAAGACAAAAGGAAAGAGAAAACTCCACTTACTAAAAGCAGGAATGAAAGGGGAGAGATTACTACCAACCTTAGAAAAATATAAAGGATTATAAGGGAATCACAAACAATTAATATGCCAGTACATTAGATAAAAGATAAAATGGACAAATTCCTAGAAAGATACAAAACATTAAAAATGATTTGACGAAGAGCTGGGGTTCATGCCCATAATCCTAGCCCTCTGGGAGGCTGAGACAGGTAGACTGTTTGAGCTCAGGAGTTAGCGTGAACTCTAACTGAGCAAGAGTAAGACCCTGTCTCTATTAAAAATAGAAAAACTACGCGGAGCAGGGTGGCTCATGCCTGTAATCCTAGCACTCTGGGAGGCTGAGGTGGGTAGATCTTCTGAGCTGAGGAGTTCCAGACCAGCCTGAGCCGGAGTGAGACCTTGCCTCTAAAAATAGCCAGGCATTGTGGTGGGCCCCTATAGTCCCAGCTACTAAGGAGACTAAGGCAAGAGAATTGCTTGAGCCTAAGAGTTTGAGGTTGCTGTGTGCTATGACTCCACAGCACTCTACTCAGGAAACAGAGTGAGACTCTGTGTCCAAAAAAAATTTAAAAATAACTGATTCAAGAAGAAATAGAAAATTGGAATGTGTCTATATAAGAGATTGAATTCATAATCAAAAAACTTTCCACAAAGAAAAGTCCAGGACCAGATGATTTCACCAAATGTTTAAAGAAGGAACACCAATGCTTCAGAAACTCTCCCAGAAAAACAGACGTGGAGGGAATGCCTCCCAACTCATTCTCTGAGCCCAGTATCATCCTGACAGCAAAACCAGACAAAGACATCCCAGGAGAATTACAGACTGATAGCCCTCATGAATATATACACTAAATTTCTCAACAAAATGCTAACAAACCAAATTCAGCAACACGTAAGAAGGGTTATGCAGTAGCCACACCTTGATCAGGGACTCCCAGCCCTGGTCAGCTTCAGACAAAGCTGGGGCACAGCATAGATGCTGACCAGGGACTGCACAGGCTCCTCAGGCTGTGGCTGCCTTCTTATTTGCAAGCGTCTTTCCTTCCAAGTCAGCCCACCTAAGGGAGTCTCTCAGTAATCCAGCTCTATATCCAGGGGGGTTCAGCCTTGGTCCCCACCTATGGCACCTGCTCCTAGAGGCTAGCTTGCTGTCTTCCCAAAGGGTAGGAAAATGAAAACTTTGTTTGCCCATTTGCCCATCTTTCAGCCTATCTGGCAATAAAATAGCAGAAAAGTAAAAAAAAAAAACAAACCCAAAAAATCTATATACAAATCCCCAGGGTAGTAAAGTAAAATGACCATTTATTATTCACCTCTCAAACTACTATGCTTAAAGATCTTTCCCCAGAAAAGGCAAGTGCTTTTTAAAAGAGCAGTGACAATCCCTCTGCCGTCCTGCATCTGTCCTACACACACACACACACACACACACACACACACACACATGCACGCACACACCGACCCTTGTGCTGTTAGAGAATCAGACACATTTATGCTGAAATACCCTGGCCCTGCTGCCTAAAAATAAAAGAAACCAAATTGGTGCTTTCTTTGAGGAGACTTTTGGACTCTTACTTAGACAAATTCTTTTCTTTAAAGTGTTTTTCAACCACTCATCACCCTTTGCACTACCATAAAAAAGCCTTTTCAGTCCAAGAAATGCTTACAAAGAAGTGTTTCTTAATATCTGCGTTTTGTTTCCTCAGCATTAAGTCACTGTCCCTGTGTCTGAGCTAAATAAGCCTTCGGATTTCTGCATGCTCACTGGTTTGCTGAGCGCTTCCATCTTCCCCCGAGCAGCTTCTCATTAATATTCTCCTTCTCAGACAGAGTGTCCACACAAGGGCTCTCCGCCTCCCCGTGAAGGCCACCTAAGCTATCAAATGCGCCTGCGAGCTCCAGCTCATTTAAGAAGTGCCTGCTTTCTAAAGAAAGTCCTTTGAAACAAGCAAAATGCTCCCTCTTTGGAGCAAAAGTGCCCCAGGGTCCACCCCACCTTGCTGCCAGCTAGGGGGCGGCCACTGTCATGCACAGCCCTCCCTAGAATGGGCAAAAAGGAGGATGCTGGCCTCCCCAAGGCAGGAGTGGCGGAGGGATAGTGGGCTGGACTGAGGGGTCAAGGCTCTGGGGTGTGGCTTGGCTCTGCCACTGGGGCACCCTCAGAACCCCAGCCTGCTCCTCTGTAACAGGAGGCAATCGTCCCCACCTTCAAGGCAGGGAAAGGGCTCCCAGGTGCAGCAGCCTCACCTGTCCGAACACGTAGAGCAGCCCAATCGTGCCTCCCGTCTGCCCGCCGAGCACGGAGGAGATCATGGAGTAGACGCCGCCACTGCCCACACCACCATGCTCCCCAACACCGATGCCAGACAGCACGGTGACGAGGGCCACCAGGACCACGAAGGACACCAGAAACATGCCCACGAGCACTCCTGTGTTTCCCTGCAGCAGAACAGCGAACGGCAAGGACAGATGTCAGGGTCAGGAGAGGCAGCCCCACAGGAAGTGCCTCCCCCATCTCCACAGCCCGGGGATTGCTGTGGGGGCACAGAAGTGAGGCCAGCAGAAAGGGACAAAGCAAGTGCCACCAGAGCCAAATGTTCTAAATGAAGGGGCTTCAAACTTTTCTATGACTCCAGTGGCCTGGCCAGTTTGGGTTTCCTTCCCCCAGGACGTCCCTTCTGTAATACTCTCACATAGTGGGCCCAAGGTAGGAAAGCCCTTTGCCCACTGCCCTTCAGAGGCCACTGGGGGAGGAAGCTCTGGGGACATGCTGCTCACCTGGCTTTGGATTTACCTGCCAGGGAGACCTGGTCGATTGGAGAAGCCAAAGGCCAGGCTGCGTGGTGGCCCCAGCCCCAGTGAGCGTCCCCTTCCCTCCATTGGTGGGGAGCTATGTTTTTTTCTTTCTCAGGATTTTCTCACTTATTTTTTAGCTTGAAGTACTGTGGGCATCTTTATTAACTACCTCAAACTCTTTGGAAAATAAAACAGAATATAAATAAAATGCAAATGTATGAAGTTAACGGTCGTGCCAGGGTACAATCAAATAGCTGTAACACAGAAGTAGTCCCTGCTACCTGCACAAATTTCTGATATTTGTGTCTGACTGACCTCGTAGGGGACCAGGACTGAGAAGAGAGGTCTCCCAGAGGACACCTGGGTCTAGAAAGAGATGTGTGTCCACAGAGAAGGGAGGCTGTGAATCCATGTCGCATACTGGGTGTGAGAAAACCCAGTGAGTACCTTCAGCTGTGCCTGCCATGGCTTAACCTCTGTGCCAGGTTCCTCTTCTGTAAAATGGAGATGACAGTGGTATTTATTTTATAGGTTGTTGGGAAATACATTTTAAGAGGGTTGAATGCATTTAAACATGCGTTGAATGCCATCTGTCATATAAGTGCTTGATAAGTCTTAGCTGCTACTATTATTATTATGCAGCTTATAAATATTCTGCCTACTCACTTTCCTCTTTAATGGCTAGATGGCAATATAAGGGTATCTGTGGGCCCTCTCTAGAAAATGACTGCCAACAGTAACGTAGGAATGTATACAAAAACTCAGCAACTGCCAGATGGTATACAACGCTGGCGGGATTCTCTAGGTAGTGGTGGTAATGCACGATCTGGTGGTGAGACCAGGGGAGGGAGAAGAACCAAGAGGGCTCCCCACCCCCAGCCCCACCTTCCCGGCACACAGAGGCTGGCAGGCTGCAGGAAAATGGGTATGGCATGGCTGTTACTCATTTTGCAGATTGTATATTTTTAATGAAATTACATATTACTGTTTTCTTCCTTTGTCCATGCTTTCCAGTCTTGTGCATGTGATAATAAAATAGCTGGTACCATAACATCTTTAAGTTTTCGTGCCAGCACTGCCACCTTATCGTTTTCCAAATTACAAGTATGTTACCAAATTATTCTTTAGAGTTAACATTTTCTATTTTAAAATAATTTTGACATGACCTCTACTTATTTTATCCCCTAGAAGCTCTCTTATCATTATTATTACTATTATTTTTTAAGACAGATTCTCACCATGTCACCCTTGGTAGAGTACCCTGGTGTCATAGCTCTCAGCAACCTCCAATTCTTGGGCTTAAGCGATTCTCTTGCCTCAGCCTCCCAAGTAGCTGGGACTACAGGCACCTGCCACAATGCCAGGCTATTGTTGGTTGCAGTTGTCATTGTTGTTTAGCAGGCCCAGGCCAGGCTCAAACCAGCCAGCCTCAGTGTATATGGCCAGCACCCAACTCACTGGAAGCTCTCTTATTTTTGACATTTTACATTTGCCTTTGTTTTCATGATCATAGATAATTTTTTGAGGCAAAACTAATGTGTGAGCTAGTTTCTGATCATTTTAGGGCAAAAGGGTATATTTGTGTGGTAGATGGACTCATGGCATTTGAACTCTTATATAATCTCCTACCCTTGAGTCTGGGTTGGACCTAGTACCTCTCTTTTTCAAGTGTGCAAAGATTTTATTAGTCATTCAAAATGATCACATTAGCTTTAATTTACTGAATAGTTCCTAAAGTGCAAAATTAGATGTGTGATTTTAGGTCACTTATTTTATCCATGCAGTCATTCTAGTCACTTTTAATGACTAGAGTATTGCGGAAGCAATGGGCTGTTGATTCTGAGATTAGAATATAAAATGCTGTGGTTTCCATCTTGGGCATTTGCTTGCTCTCATTTTCTCTCAGATTGCTCACCCTGGGGGAAGCGAACTGCTGTATAATGAGCCAACCCAATGGAGAGGCCCACATGATGAGGACCAAGGCCTCACAACAACTACTCCAGTGATCCTGGAAACAGATCCTCCCCCAGTTGAGCCTTCAGCTGTGACTGCAGCCCTGACTGACAGGCTGACTACAGCCTCATGGGGGATCTTAAGCCAGAGGCACCCACCTAAATCACACCCAGATCCCTTAACCATGGCAATGGTGAGATAATGCATATTTGTCACTTTAAACTGCTAAGTGTTGGGGCAATTTGCTATGTAGCAATAGATAACTAATACAATTTGTACTTTCACTTTGGAGATGGAACTAAAACTTTTGGATAGCCAGGTGCAGTGGCTCATGTCTGTAATCCCAGCACTTGGGAGGCCAACTTGGGTGGATTGTTTGAGCTCACAGGTTTAAGACCAGCTTGAGCCAGAGCAAGATCCCATCTCTAAAAATAGCCAGGTGTTATGGTGGGCGCCTATACTCCCAGCTACTTATGAGGCTGAGGCAAGTGAATCACTTAAGCCCAAGAGTTTGAGGTTGCTGTGAGCTATGATGCCATGGCACTCTACCCAGGGTGACAAAGTGAGACTGTGTCTCAAAAAATAAAAAAAATTAAAAAATAGATAAATAATAAAACTTCTGGTTTGCCCTTAAAAATAAAGTTCAGTGTTAGGGATAAAGAGTGAGGAGATAAACTAGAGACAGCATGTACCTGTGTCTCCTTCCACCTCTCCATCACCATTCCTGCACAGAGCAGAGCCAGGGAGCCCAGGCTGCCCCTAATCGGGGCTCCTCTGCCACCGGAGTCAGAATGATGGGCCTCCCTTGGCATAGGGCTGGGGAGGTGCTGAGCAGTGAGGTGGCCCCAGAAAGGGGAAAAACAGAGGTCCCCAGGCCTAAGACTAATTGCCAGGAGGAGGAGTCTGAGCTGCAGGCTTTGTGTTTGCACAAGTGGGAGCCTCTATGAGTGTAGGGTAGTGGTCAGAGGCATAAATCCTCAGCATCACACACAGAGGTTTCAGACCCCAGTATAAGCTTTCCATGCATTAATTTAAAAAAATCTCAGACCCACTCTGGCTGCGGCTAAGGCCAAGCCTTGACCTAGGTCCTCAGGATGTGGATTTAAAAGCAGTGCTAGCTGGTCACTGTGCTTGACTCTTGTTTCATATTTTAGGGGCATCTGTGCTTTGAGAATCTGTTGTCTGCTCTGTGGAATGCCAAGAGTGAGGGGGCACCCTCTCTTAGGCCCACAAGTACCTCCAGGCCACAGGCTGAATACTTACCACCAGCCAGCCAGTCCTCAAGAAAAGCACAACCCCAAAAATGTTGATCATGCATGATGTGAATACACCATCCCAGGTCCCAAACAGCACTGGCTCCCATACAAATAGCTGGATCTTCCACCAGGGCTGGGGCTGGGCCAACACCCCCTGAAAATAGAGCACATGGAAGTCAGCTGCATTCAGGAGGGCCAGAGAGGCAAGGGGAGGGATGGGAAGGAAGAGGAAGTGGAGGAGCAAACAACCTGGTTCCCAGAAATGCTGTTCTGCCACTCAGGCAGGACAGCATTTCCCCACCCCTTTGCATGTAGGTGTGACTGAGTTCTAGCTCATAGCCTGTAGGTAGAAGCACTAGGTGACACTTCTGTGTGAGTGTAGGATTCTGGGCTCCAGCCCAGCAGTGGTCATGAGCCCTTGTCATCCTCTAGTCCTAGGGGTGACAGCAGCCTCCAGCAGTCACTAATCTTCAGATAACCTTACTTTACACTTTTTGCTCCTTTGGCCCTTCTAACACCCTGTAACCAATCCTGTGTATTTAATTCCCTCTGTTTAACCTACCTATGGTGGTTTCTATATTCCTGACTGAATAGGCCATGTCTAAGACTCCTTCCCTTCCAATACCCCAGAGATTCTAAAGCATTATCTGGCAATTTTTTAGAATCAGAGGCTAATTGGTGATTAAACAGATCCCTTGCTCATTATCCCAATTTAGAAATAACAGAGGCACTCATAAACACACAAATGGAGGCTGGACAGGTGCAGTGGCTCATGCCTGTAATCTGAGCACTCTGGGAGGCAGGTGGATTGCTTGAGCTCAGGAGTTCAAGACCAGCCTGAGCAAGAGCTACCCCATCTCTGCTAAAAAGAGAAAAAACCTGAGATAAGAGGATCACTTGAGGCCAAGTTAGAGATTGCTGTGAGCTATGATGCCATGGCACTCTACCTAGGGCAAAAGCTTGAGACTCTGTCTCGAAACAAACACACGCACACACACACAAACAGATGGAAATCTTTTAATAAAAATTCTAAAACCTTGTGGAAATACTAAAATGATCTTTTAGAGGGTGGTGAGGAGAAGGAGCCAATGCAATGGCTGATCTTTATTGGAAAGAAGAAACTTCAAGGCACATTTTGAGTAAATTAGTGCAGGGGCTCAGTGTGCCAACTGGTGGGGCCCCAGTTTGTAATGTCTCCCCAGTTTGTAATGTCTCCACCATTAGGGCGCCACTGGGCCTCGCCTTTTGTGCAGCCTGAAGCAGCTGCTGGTACTGTCGTCCTCGTCACAGATAGAGCCCACTATTCACTTGTTGGTGATGGCAGGGACTAAGTTGTGGTCTTCCCTTGTGCCTGCAGCTGCTTTCGGGGGCAGCATATATATTGTCTGGATCCAGTCCCTTTTGTGCAGCCATCATGACCTCCTTCTCCAGCCCAGTCACCTCTCCTCCTCAGTAAGAACACTACAAGCTGCTGGCGGCTACCCATCTCCATGGTTCCCTATGAACTACCAAGTCACGATCTCCAAAAGTGGTAACACTGGGGGAAGCTTTTCTTCCTCCAACTACCAAGGCAAATTTTTTGACATTTTTCTAAAAGCAGGTCAGAGCTCGTTCTTCTGGAGGTAGGCGCAGGTTTCAAGGGCGGCTGGGCCACTCCCCATCCAGGTTGCAACCTCCTACCAAAAGGATCTGAAACAAAACCAGCGGCAACTCCTGATGTGAACACTCTTATGTAGGGTTGGTAATTAACCTAAACCCAGGCATCTGTAGAAACTCCCAGTACCCTTGAAAGGACAGCAGTGGTAAGTGGTTCCCCAGTGGGTGGAGTGAGTAAAGAGGGAGAGGCACCCAGCTCAGAGTCCCTGTGTGCAACGAGTCTGTAACTGGTGAGCACGTGTGATCTGTAAACACAACAAGAAGGCAGAAAAATCAAGACTGGAGGAAAAAGTCTAAGATCTAGAGTCACAGGGGTGGGGCATCTGAATGGCTACAGACAAGGGATACAGCCATGATCTAGGACCAAAGGCTGAGGCCAGCTACCTTTGCTCAAAACAGAGAAGAGGATCCCAGCTCCTCTTCTTCCTCTGGCCATGCACTCACAGCTGGAGAAAGAGCCTTAAGAAATATTCAGGGATCTCAACTGAGCCACATGGGACAGATGGGCCAGGGGATTCCTTGGTGTCCCTGGTCAGGCCCTGACTGTTGAGTTCTCAATTCCATGCGTATCACTGTTCATCTGTCTCACAAACCATGAATGAGGCATCTCCCGGAAGTCAGTGTGAGAACAGGCATCCTGGCTCAGAGCAGTCTCTGCCAGCCTTGCTTGTCCTTGAACAAATGGTACCAAGGGACCTGTTCGGTGAATGCAGGATTGTTTTCCAGCATTCTAATCTCAACATTCAGAACATGGCCCAACTTCCTGTCTCTGCTTGTGTTCAACTTCCCATCATGGCTTGTTACAGGCCTACTATTTATTAGGAACAGCCATAACAGTAACTATCAGCAACGAAAAGGGTTTCAGAGTCTAACATTCTGGACTTTGTGTAAGTGCAAATGGATCTGTTTACCCATAAAATGGCCTTGGTGATTTTAGAAAACTTACTCAGTGTCTTTTATCCCCCCACCTTCATCTTTCCACTCTGAAGGCTGGCTTGTTGATGTTCTGGCTTTCCACTGGTATGGGAAATGCCTTTCATTGCCTTGCTGCTGTTGGACTAGCAAGTCAGCCTTGAGGGTACTTTACAGCGCAGACAGAAGCTTTCAGGAACCCTTTCTTTACCCTGAGAATGCAAATATCACTGGTTTGAAATGGGTTTGGAGACCCAGCCCTGACACTAACTTCAGGATGTGTAGTGGGGTGTGTCTTCCCTTTTCACCAAGTGACAAAAGAATATAACATAATCTTCCCACCATCTGTGCATCAGAGGCTGGGCAGGAAGAGACTGGGTTTGACTATAAGGGTGCAACCCTGACCCTCTTAGAGAAAAAGAGACACTACATCAGGCTAGTGAGAGAAAGAAGGGAGGAAAAGAAGAATCAAAAGCACAGAGGAAAGGACAGAGAATGAGATGGAGGGTCCTGGAATAAAATGCCAAACAGGTAATATAGAGACCCGAGGGATATTTCCCAGGCCCTCCAGAAATGCCACACTGGCTTCCAGACATCCACTAGAAGTGCCAGGTTGGGTGTCCTTGTCCTCCTCATTGGTCCCTTGTCTAGCCTTCCCACCTGTATGATGCCATTCAGGCTTTTGCTACTGCCCAGAGTTAACCACTTAGGACAGCACTGGCTGAACAATGAAACCGCTACTGCCACTTGCTAGTGGTGGAAAGATGGCTGCTCCACCTCCCCAGCTCTCGCTGGGGCCTGATGGCCCCCTGCACTTCACTTCCGCTCTAGCTCTGATGGGCAGAGCCACACACATACTTTGTAGTTGGCTCTCCTGAGTCCTCACACTTAACTCCTTCCTCTCCTGGAGGGTGAGGAACCCCCTCTCATAAATACTCCCTCCTGCAAAGCCCACAGTGGAGACAGCCCCTCAGTGCCTCCACAAAGTCATCTCTCTTGTCTGGCGGAGTGAAGGGGAGAGCTGGGTGATGGAGTGAAGTTTAGGCCAGGTCTGGGCCACCTCATTAAGCCTAGGGAAGTGTCTGGTCCCAAATGTTGGTAGCTCTTGGACCCTTGCCCTCAATTCCAGCATAACAAGACTTCCATTCAATATCCCGCACAGGGTGTGTGATACGCCTGGCAGGGGGCTACTGGGAAGCAGTGATAGAGGCTGAGGAGGGGATGTGTGTCCCCACTACACATCCTGACAAATCAGTCCCCCAGAAAGGGCTCCTTAAAACATGCTCAGGGGCAAGCTCCTCTCTTTCCCAAGGCTCCTAGGCCTGGCAGGGGCCAGCTTAACAGAACCCAGGGGTACAGCAACTTGAATTCCAGTCCCAGGGGTGCAGAGACTTGAATCACCCCTCCTGCCGCCTGATTCCCCAGGATGAGAAGTCGGGTGTCAGTCCCTCTGAGCGCAGGGAAACCATGACCGCCTACTGGATGCTTTTATCACTTTAAGGAACCAGGGCTCTTTGAGGAATTCACTGATTCAGGCCTGGGGCAGAGAAAGTAGAAAATGAATGGCATATCTTGTACCAGAAAGTAAGAAAGTGCTCAAAAAAAAAAAAAAAAATGACAAGGATGTGTCAAAAGGACATAGGAGCCAGCTTGAAGGGCTCCCTCTAGCCAAATCTGGCATAGTCACCAAAATAAATGATGGCAATAGAATAAGAATCGGAACCCATATGTAGATAAATGAATACATTAAAATATGAGCAAGAAGAGAAAGCCCTCTCTTACAGTGGAAAGCCAATTATTATATGTGGAAGGAATTATGGAAAAATCACCATATTGTAACTATCACAGTGATAATTGATTCTGCCAAGAATCACTAATAGATGCTAAAGCTCATCAGTAAAAGATTGATGAAGAATAGGATACTTCCATGTATCAAAGTATCCCAAACATACTGTTATGCAGAAAAAAAAAACCCAGCACATTATTTATTAATTACAAAGGATTAGTAATGTAAAGTGGGTTAACCTAGCAGACATCACCTTAAATAAGTTACCAAAGTTAACATCACTGATCATGGGAAAAATGAAAACTACGTGCCTCTTGAGATGACGCCTGGAGAAGGACAGAACGTCACTGCTGTAGTATTATTGCCAAAAATACAAATGAAAACCTAATTGTGATGGATCATGTCCCGCGCCAAAGAACATTCTACAAAGTAACTGGCCTGTGTTCTTCAAAAAATGTCAAGGTCATGAGAGACGACGAAAGACCAAGGAACTGCTTCAGATAAAAGGAGGCTGAAGAGACATAACAACTTATGGGATGCATGATCCTGAACTGGACTGTAGTCCAGGGACAGGGCTGGAGGGAGCCATAGCTCAGTAGTGGGATAACTGGCAAAACTGAGGAACTGCAGACTAGATAATAGGATTTACCAATGTTCAATTTCCTAAACTTGATAAATATACTGTGGTGAGATAAAAGAAAATTCTTGTTCCTTGGGGAATATAATATACACTGAAGTATTTATGGTGTTTGTGGATAGAGGAATATAATGTCTGAAAATCATTTCCAAATGGTTTAGGGAGAAGGTTAACATGTGGTAAATCTGAGTCAAGTGGTAAATCTGAGTCGAGTATAGGATTTTTTTTTTTGCACTATTGCAACTTTTCTTTAGGGTGAAATTTTATCAAAATAAAGTTTAAAAATAAATAAATAGGTTGCACAACATTACAAATAAATAGGTTGCACAACATATACAACATTGAACTGTATACTGCAAAATGGTTAAGATGGCCAGCTTTACATTCTGTGTATTTTACCACTATAAAATATTGGATAAATAAAAACTTCAGTAAGAGCTATTTTGTAATAGAAGCCTAGATGTTATTTTTTTAAAATTAGCTTATTTACTCTTTTACTCCTAGTTATCCGATAAGGAACGGGTATGTGTACTTACTAAATGTGAGTCAGTTCAATGAATGAATGAATTTTCCTTAGAAAGTGACGTTCGGTATTTCTTTTAAGATGGCAGAGTATTTTCTTACCTTCCAAACTGGCATGGAAATGACAGAAAAGGTGTGCTGCCTTCTTAAGTATGAAACTGTAATTATAACAAGAAGCAGGAACAAGCACCACCCACGCGTCAGACTTTTGGAGGAATTCCTACAGAGGGCCTTGGAGGGGGAGAGAATAAGCAGAGGTAGAGCTCCTCAGGGACTGCGGTAAGAGCTGTCTTCCAAAGCACCCAAGCACTTCCAAGTTCAAAGCCAGCTCAACCTAGAAGCAGGCATAGGCCATAAGCAGTGACTGAGTATAATGTTAACTTGAAGGCTTTGTTGCTTATCTGGAAGTAACATATGTGACACAGCATAAAAGATTGCTTGGGGGGGGTGGCGCCTGTGCTCAAGGAGTAGGGTGCCAGCCCTATATACTGGAGGTGGCAGGTTGAAACCTGGCCCCAGCCAAAAACTGCAACAACAACAAAAAAAATTTGCTTAGGGAATTCTTATTATATTTGCTAAGGACGGGAGTTGGTAAATGCACCAACGCAATTGCGGAGTTCGTACATTTCACATGAAGTGGTACAATATGGACTCTAAACTACGAAAAGTTTAAAATGTATATTTAATCCCAAGAGCATCCATTCTCAAACTGTTTGGTCTGAGGGCCCTTTGCCTTCTTAAAAATATTGCCTTAGGTGGATTGTAACTACCAATAGTTGCCATATTAGAAATTTGGGGAGAGATATTTTAGATATTTACTAATTCATTCTAAAGTAATAAACCCAATTCTTATTAAAATAAATGATATATTTTCATGAAAAATAACTATTTTCCAAAACAAAAACATACTGTGAAAAGAGGGGCCTTGTTATACATTTTGCAAAACTTTTTTTATTTTTTTTAATTTTTATTGTTGGGG